CTTGGTCAGAATCATCTTTGGTGGATGACGGTATCACATTGTAAACTTGGAATTCCTGCCCCATCCCCAGGGGTTAGAGCGGGGCCCCAAAGGGAACATTTACAAATATTTTAAAATTCTTATCCTTTGATGACATGACAAGTATTGTATTTCACTTAGTTTACATGCTGATTTCCACATCACATCTAAACAATAAAATAAAGCTACCAGTACCTATGATATAACTCAGGTGACCGCTAAGGCCCTTGGGCCTCTTGTTAGGTTTAATGCACATAGAAATACATATATAAAATAGAGTTGCGTTCACTACAGTTGACTTCTATGAAACTATCTAAAAATGTCTATTTAGTCATTCATTAAGGATTTATATTGCTCAATTAAAATATATTTAATGAAGTGGAAAATATAAAGAACATATATATTATCATCCAAAAAAGAATCGTGAAAAATGAAATAATAACTTTTTTGAATTTCAAGTGTTAATTGGATATCCAATTTCTTCAAGCGATTGTCAAGTTTGAGGCGTTGCAACCCTCTGTCAAGACACAAATGTAAAGCAATTACACACCATTAAATTTAAGACAGAGTCATTTGTTACTACTTCATTTTTATGCTGTTATGAATGTTTTCTTAGGCCGCCTGGGACGAAAGTCTATTTCAATTTTGTTCTTAACCAGATTGTATAGGTACTTTTAAGATGAACAGAACACACACACACACACAGGTGATCGTAGACATGGTCATAAGTACAGTAAGCCAAACAGGAATAACACTGCATCATGCATTTGTTTAGCCATCGATGGTGCTAGGAGCCGAATTTGATGTTTCTCATCCTTTAGATGATTTCTTTCTGTTGGTGCTATGGTTAAAAAAAAGCTATACACTTTTATAACTGTCCATTTTCATAAGGTTTGCCAAAAAATATCACACGTTTTATCAAATATATATCTCGCTAAGCAATATTAATTAAGAAATAATATAGTACACATATAATTAAGATATATTCAAAAGGATTTGGTAGCAAGCTTAGAGCTTGAGTAAAACCTACTCCTTTAACTCTCAAAAATACCAAAAAAATACATCTTATAATGTAAAAGGCACTAAATATGCCTTAGTTTCCATAACAATATACATAACAGGAGATATAACAATTTCTCATTTCAAAATGAAAAACTCACTTTTTCGAGGCAATGCACCCCTCTGTTAAGACACAAAAATTAACCAATAACACACCATTAAATATAAGACAGGATAAATTGTTTCTACTAAACTTTCATGCTGACATTAAAGGTTTTTGTTTCGGCTGGCCGGAAGCCAAAGACTATTTGTAATAAGAATAAATTTGTTGTGGTACCAAAGAGCACCAAGGGAATTTGTTGATATTTCTTCGAAAGCAGTTGTGGTATTTACGATCGTAATGTACTACGACTGCAATTTAAGATTGATTACACATAACAATAATAAGATTTTTTTCGTCCATCAAGTTGATAAGGTAAAATTAAACATTTGATCAATAAATACAACTAACATTCGCAATAGACTATATCAAGAATCGGAGACATTTATATTACGAAAACATATTAAATATGGATTCTTTTGTACTATAAAAATCCAATACACATCACTACTTAGTTTGGCTATCCTGTAAAGGGTCGCACGTCATTATGCATCAATAATTAATATGAAAATATCTTTAAGGCTATATACATTAATATGTTATGTACATTAAACGTTGTTTAAATATATGAGTAAATGTTTAATGATTCCAATCGTTCTTCATATATCATTTCTATTTCATCGACTGAAATATTAACACATATAAGGATTTTTTTAGTACTCAGTATTGGCTCAAAAATATGCTATTCATATGGTTAATTGGTAGAAAGCGTCAAAACATTTCTTCATACTGTAGTAAATTGTGACTTTTACAATATTAAATTTAAAATATAAATGAAGTTTCATTAGAAAAATTAGTATATGTTATTGAGCATACATTTTAACTAAATAATTATATACCATTCTTGTTTTTCATTTCTGAATATTTGGTGCTTAGCACCGAGCCCTTTCATCATCGTACTTTATCTATATATAGAACTGAAGGAAAAGTGGGTTTTCATAGCCTTACTTGAATGCCCTTTTCATGAAGGATGAGCACAGGACAAACACAGGTATTTACATCCAGAAAAAAATCGTAACATATCTTGCATGGCTAAAATGAATTACACTGCAGCATATAGCTGTTTAAACAAATAGGACTTGATGCTAGGGACTGAAATGTTGAAGTCCTATTTGGTTTTAACTACAGTTGGAACAGAAGGGAAAGTGCGTAAAACCATTATGTATATATATATATATATATCTTTAAAAAAAATAAGGAATACTCTGGTCGATATGATTTTATCAATGTATCTTTCAACATTATTATAATGAATGACAAATATTTATTTAACAACTGTCATATATAATAGACAATATGGATTCACAAATAACAATGGCAAAAAATATGAAATTAAATTTACAATATTGTGAATTTTTTCTTTGGTTTAAATTAAAATTTAATGATAACAATACAGCATTTACGAGCCCTGTTTCATATATAGAATGAATCTAAATCTTAGGCGTCTAACAGTACATACATAGTAATCGTAAGAGATTGATACACGCACACACGTATACATTTATTGTTCTTTGTGAACAGAAGAAGACATGCTATTTACAAGACAGTTTATGAATAAATGACTGCGTTGAACGTCTGAAATACAGGCGTAAACAGGTGATTTTGTGACACCCTTGTATGTCTGCGCCATTATTCTATACGTGAATACCAGAAAGTTGTTTGATTCACATAATTATTTGAGAAATTTAAATTACTTACAGTATAATTTTTATTCGGGTTTACTACTAATGATATCGAAGTTTAAGTAAACATTGCTTTTATTATGATAAATAACTATTTTGACTGCTATTTCTGCTTGTGAAGAGAAACAATTGTGTTGATTGAAGGCAGAACAAATGCTGTTATGATTTTGATTTAAGTCACATAAAATCATTTTAATTTCTCTTTTTCTTTTTCTAGGAAGATAAAAACCGTCGTCACATTCAAGAAGGGTGTTAAAATTAACATATGCATCAATTAGCAAAGAATAAATTGCAATTACATTATCCAAAATAGGTGCTTCAGCATATCACTTAAATATATATTCAATTAAAAAATATCAGCGACACCTTTGTTTATAAATGATTATAAGTAAAACACGTCTAATAAGCAATAGTTTATTAGGATCCAGTGCTTATATTTTATCATAATGTCGTTATTACAAACAATACTTGTGGAAATAATATATCCATATAAACATTCCTCTTCCACTACATTTGTCTCTGTGTATCATTTTACGGCCTTTAATAACGCTTTTAGTAACCGTGTTTTCTGCTATTTTTCCAATTTGCAAGGAGAGTTAGACCGATAATAAAAGACGCCATTAAAGGTCTCTGTCGAAGCTTTGATTATATAATAAAACCTATAATACGTGTTTATAAGTCAGGAGATTTATAAAATAGTGTAGGAAAAGAATATTACCGTGAGAACGCTGCTGTACACACCATTGTATTAGAGAGAACCTATCCTCGATATCCAGGGGTTACGCTCACTTTCGCTCTCTACACCCCTGGAATTTGTCATAGTAAAATTGAAGGCATGCGGCTAGCTATTTGATTGGTGTCAGGTAAAAAGAAACTTGACCAATCACTAGGCTGGAGCGACACCCGACTTCAAAGCCAGGAAGTTTTACCGGCCTGACCGCGAGATTCTTTTGATGTACATCAAAGGATCGAACTAGTCTTCTCGTGTCACACTGAGCCTTTGCTTTTGCTATGACATATTCCAGGGGTTTAAAGAACGAAAGTGAGCGTAACCCTAGATATCGAGGATGGAGAGAACCATGTCAAAGGAATATATATATGTACAGTAATTAAATGGTGGATATAAGTACAGAAATTAGTTAAATGGTGCATCAAATACAAATGTGCACATATTTTTTCCAGTATGTATCGTATAATCCCAAAAATTAATCGCGCTTATTCCTCTGAATTTAATTTAAAAAGATAGACCGCACTTTTAAGGTAATATACATGTTGTTTATGAATATTTATTCATTTCTGATAATAACAAAATAGTTTTTTCACAAAACACAAAAGTGCACTAAAATTTCATCGTCGAGCAGCTTCAACCACTCAGAAGTTAGAAACAAATACCGCGCCGAACATTGCGTAATCTAGCAAACACTGAATTATTTGAATTTAGTTAAACATGCTTTATTTAAATACCGTAAGGTATCTAGATATAGTTATCAATTGTGTTTCTAAGTACAGTGAACAAATGGTGTATCCACGCTCAATTATCATAAAGTATATACAAACACAAACATGGAATTATATATAGTCATTGTTCCTCTTGCTTTTTACCTTTGGCGGTTTTTTATTCTGTGATGTGGTGTTTCTGGCCATCTGTCCACTGTTTCCATTTCCGCTATTTCCGTTTCCACTCCCACCGCCGCCACCATTACTATTCCCAGGTGTGACTGAGTTTCGCATCACGTAATCCATCACATCAATCGCGATAGTAACAATTAACGGAATAGAGACAAGCAAGACTCCTACAATCCCAATGAATTTTGACGTCCAACGATCATCAGGAGCACTAGATAATGTACGTAGGTAACGATTGGTCGACTTTAATGGAACACGGAGTAGTAGAATGTCTTCTGTTGTGATAGGCGGGTTATTGTTGGGAGAAGTGCCTATACCGAGGAACGGAAGATACGGAGGATTGCCATTTACAGGATTCAAAAACACCTGGTAAACTTCTGTAAGAAAACAATGGTGATGATAAATTTCAGTATACCATTCGAGAATTTTTGTTATCGAGAAGACATTTTATTCTTTCATTTCCGTGTGTGTAAGATAGAGCTGTCCAGGGTAAGAATGGGGTGTAGAAAATTTCTATCTTACACCCCATTTCACGTGGCGTGACGTCACAATGGCTCAACAATGACGTGACGTCACGAATTTGGAAAACATTGATGCCGTAATTTGGAAAAGGTTACGTTATGAAATCAAAATTTACGATATATTTACCGTACATGTTAGAAAGATCAGATTATTTTTTCTGCGCAAACTCTGTTTGCAAATATGGGGTAGTGCTAAATTATTTTCGGCAAAACTGCTCAGGGAAAAAAATTGATATCTTTAAAATGGTAGCCAGCCGTATTTTCATGATTTCTGAGCTTATTCTGGTAGTTGGAATGAGAGAAAAATATTCTTTCATGCCCAAGGGTGTAGGATAGAAAAAATCCACCCTCCGGATTTTCGAATTTGGCAAAACTCTCGGCAAAGCCTCGGGTTTTACCAAATTTGAAAACCCGTCGGATGGAAGTTCTCTAATCTACACCCCTGGGTATGAAAAAGTTTCATATTATTTATAACTGCCATCTCTAAGGTTATATGGATAGCCCTACAAAACAAGAAATGAATGCTGTTAGTCTGGAAATTTTCTAAGTTATATACATTGTCAATTGGCTGTAAACAAATGTAACTGGACAGACATGATGCCACATCATCATGCTGTTTGTGTGTCTTGCGATAGATATATTGCTAGTTCGATGAATAAATTTCCGGTTGATATCTTATTGTCTGGGAGATATCTAACTCTTTGGTTACGATTATAAATTTTATCATAAAACCCTGACTAACTTGTCTTTTAAAATATATACATATTATTTTGAGGATTCTAAAGAGTATCACTTTGCAAAAGTTAAATACTAATATTTAACATGACAGAATTTGTAAAATGAAGCTGTGTATATGGTATATTTACAACCACCGTAGGGTTTATTAAGAGGGAGATGTATATATCGAATACTTACCCCCACAGTAGGGTTTGTTAAGAGGGAGATGTATATATCGAATACTCACCCCCACAGTAGGGATTGTTAAGAGGAAGATGTATATATCGAATACTAACCCACACCGTAGGGTTTGTTAAGAGGGAGATGTATATATCGAATACTTACCCCCACAGTAGGGATTGTTAAGAGGAAGATGTATATATCGAATATTAACCCCCACCGTAGGGTTTATCAAGAGGGAGATGTATATATCGAATACTCACCCCCACAGTAGGGATTGTTAAGAGGGAGATGTATATATCGAATACTTACCCCCAAAGTAGGGATTGTTGAGAGGGAGATGTATATATCGAATACTTACCTCCCACAGTAGGGATTGTTAAGAGGGAGATGTATATATAAAATACTTACCCCCACCGTAGGGATTGTTAAGAGGGAGATGTATATATAAAATACTTACCCCCACCCTAGGGATTATTAAGAGGGAGATGTATATATAAAATACTTACCCCCACAGTAGGGTTTCATACCAGACCACTGTCCTCCATCTCCACAAATCCTCACCGGGTCCCCAAACTCTACGGCGTTGCCAGGATCACACCCAATTATCACCATTCCATTATAAGCTGTATTAAGATGAAGCACTGTTCCGTTGGCTACCTCACCGGGATCAGAACAAACGATATCTACAACACGACAAAACCATTTATTGTTCCGTTAGTTACCTCGCCGGGATCAGAACAAACGATATCTACAACACGACAAAACCATTTACTGTTCCGTTGACTACCTCGTCGGGATCATAACAAACACTATCTACAACACGACAAAACCATTTATTGTTCCGTTGGCTACCCTCATTAGAGATCAAAACAAACAATATCTACAACACGACAAAACCTTTTACTGTTCCGTTGGCTACCTCACCGGGATCAGAACAAACGATATCTACAACACGACAAAACCATTTACTGTTCCGTTGGCTACCTCACCGGGATCGGAACAAACAATATCTACAACACGACAAAACCATTTATTGTTCCGTTGGCTACCTCACTGGGATAAAAACAAACAATATCTACAACACGACAAAACCATTTACTGTTCCGTTGGCTACCTCACCGGCATCAGAACAAACAATATCTACAACACGACAAAACCATTTATTGTTCCGTTGGCTACCTCACCGGGATAAAAACAAACACTATCTACAACACGACAAAACACTTTATTGTTTCGTTGGCTACCTCACCGGGATCAGAACAAACAATATCTACAACACGACAAAACAATTTACTGTTCCGTTGGCTACTTCACCGGGATAAAAACAAGCGATATCTACAACACGAAAAAACCATTTATTGTTCCGTTGGCTACCTTCATTAGAGATCAAAACAAACAATATCTAGAACACGACAAAACCATTTACTGTTCCGTTGGCTACCTCGCCGGGATCAGAACAAATAATATCTACAACATGAAAAAAACCCATTTACTGTTCCGTTGGCTACATCACCGGGATAAAAACAAGCGATATCTACAACACGACAAAACCATTTATTGTTCCGTTGGCTACCTCGCTGGGATCAGAACAAACAATATCTACAACACGACAAAACCATTTATTGTTCCGTTGGCTACCTTCATTAGAGATCAAAACAAACAATATCTAGAACACGACAAAACCATTTACTGTTCCGTTGGCTACCTCACCGGGATAAAAACAAACACTATCTACAACACGACAAAACGCTTTATTGTTTCGTTTGCTACCTCACCGGGATCAGAACAAACAATATCTACAACACGACAAAACAATTTAGTGTTCCGTTAGTTATCTCACCGGGATCAGAACAAACAATATCTACAACATGAAAAAACCCTTTTACTTTTCCGTTAGTTATCTCACCGGGGTCAGAAACAAATGATGTCTACAACGTAACAAAACTTAAAGTTCCGTTAACTGACCATTTATGTGCTTTTGGTAACCTGATCGTATAATGGTTAGTCCTTGTCTGTCTCTTTTATGTCTTAAAAAGGAGCAGGTTGTTCCGAAATTCGAATATATTTATGTTAGATTAGATATTCAATTATTTGAGTAAATACATATTATTTCAATTATATTTGTACACATGTGTGTATATGTTAAATAGATCCATATATTGTCAAACATTTCAAAACTTCCAAAGGGAAAAAGATAGAGCAATGACTTTAATAGACAGGGAGTTTATACAGCCTAGTTGTTATCTTGTCGACGACACGATTAGGGGTTTTCTTATGATGGTCGATGTAGAGTTGTTTGGTCTGTAAAGCTACGTGGTCCCCTTAAAGACACATTGAAAACACTGTTATTTTTTTATGATGTAGAGATGATCGTTTAAGACAACTTTAAAACAGATTATTTTTATGTATAAAACAATGTCAGCAGTATTCTTATGACTGAAGATACAGGGAAATGCTTTTTATAGATAGGTGGTCTTTCATATAGAAAACACCGTTAGGTTTTTTTATGATGAATGGTGTAGAGAGATGGTCTTTTAAGGCAGTTTAATTGAATAGAAAATACTTTAAGGAGTATTCTTGTTGTGATAAATGTAGAGAGATGGTACAGAACTATAGGAAGTCTTTAAGGCAGATTAGAACTATATTGATACACTGGTAGGAGTTTTCTTATAATAGCACACGCTAATGTAAGGAAATATTTTTTACAGATATGCCGTCTTAAAGGCATTTTTCTGTTATATTGAAGACGCTAAATGGGTTTGATGAAAGATGTAGAGAAACGGTCTTTAACGACAGGTGGTAATAAACTCTGACAGACCGACGTCAATCACCTTCACATACTGGTGCTTCCCCACTCCAGGTAGTGTCCGACTGGCACGTGCTCTGAAGAGTTCCAGACGACAACATGGTTCCGTATTGACACTTATACTCGATGACATCCCCATACTCTTTTCCCTGATATGACGTAATATCCGCCTTCACTCCAGTTGAGTGGGAAGGACATATCACCTCTAAAACAGAAACAAGTGTTTAAGTTTATTGCATATGTATTACAAATATCTTTTCCAGTATAAACAATCAAATAATGGTTCTCATACAAACGATATCAACACATCATTTCACGTTAATCCTATAGAATTCTATATACTATCAATGGCGGATCTGTGAAGTAACTTTATTGTATATTTATATGTGGAGTATTTTTTCCTCTGAAAACACTGTTGTTGATTTCCTCCATTTTTATAACATCTTTATTCTTTTTACCAACAGTGCCACAGAGTTGTTTTTTGGGAAAAGTCTTATAAAAGCTATTGTCATGCAGGTAAACGTTTTTAGTCAATAATTACAGTTTTGGCAGGTGGACATTGATCCTTAAAACTGTTCAATGACCTACGTCGTGTTAAAGGCCTAACGTTACTCTTAATTATTAATATGTGCAATAGATCACTCTGATACGCTATCCCTTTAGATAAATGTACGTGATACAAAAGAATACATCGATTTATAACACATGAATTGTTCGAGATATTAAGTCAAAATCAAAACATAAGCAAAACCACTGGTATAATGTGTATGGCATTACCCTTAATTAGTTACACTGGTAATACATATATAATACATAAGCAATTATCTATAACTGTGTCAATGTTGCCATCTCTATCTGGGGGAATCATGTAATTAGGTTAACGAGAAAATACGTATGTGTAACGGCAGTGCTTTGACCTGTGAATATGTCTCTGACTGGTGCTTTTGTAGTTTGTGGAAAATGTAATGTATAACAGTATAATACAATTACCTCGTTACAGCTGTTTTGTTCATGGGATATCATTATTCGTAACATAAACAGCATTTCTGTCGACTCCAATTCAGCTTTATTTAACCTTGCATGAGCTAAGAATACATGTTCATTATTACGGCAAGCCATATTTTGCTTACAATGCATTTGTGTGCGTTATTAGATGTGACACAAAAAAGAACCATACAAAATGGCTGACTAGACAGGATAAGGAATCACCTCTTCTATTTCAAACGATACTTTTTAGCTCACCTGGTCCAAAGGACCATGGTGAGCTTATGCAATACTGCAGCGTCCGTCGTCCGTACGTCCGTCCGTCCGTCGTCCGTCCGACCGAGCAGATTTTGACCAAATTTGGTCAGAAGCATCCTTGGGGAAAGGAAAACCAATTTCGTATAAATGGTAGGTCTGGCCCCCTGGGCCCTGAGGGACGGAGCCAAATAGGGGAAATATAGCAAATTCTTTAAAATCCTTCTTCTTTCTGTAGGAATGAAAGAAGTTGGGCCATATTTGGTCTGAAGCATTCTTCGGTGAAGGGAAACCAGTTTTGTATAAACTGTTGGTCTGGCCTACCCTGGGGGCTGAGGGGCGGGGCCCAATAGGGGAAACATAGCAAATTCTTCAAAATCCTTCTTCTTCTATAGGAATGACAGGATTTTGTCCAAATTTGGTATGAGACACCCTTGGGTGACGGGGAACCAATTTTGTATTTCAAATTTAACGGTGTGTATGAACCCCCTGGAGGTAGAGAGGCGGGAAATAGAGGTAAAACCTTTAAAATCCCTCTTCAACCATAGGGATTAAGGGATTTTATCCTAATTTAGGCTGGAGCATCCTTGGGCCAAGGGGACTCAATTTTGTGCAAGCAGTGGGTGTGGTCTCACAGGGGACAAAAGGGCGAGCCCAATAGGAGATAAAGAGGTAAAACCTTTAAATTCTTCTTCGACCATTGGGATTAAGGAATGTTATCCTAATTTAGTCTGGAGCATCCGTGGGTCAAGGGTACTCAATTTTGTATAATTGGTGGTTATGACATTGAATATGTATCTGCGAAATCCGACCTTCATTTTCTATTTGGAGACTCACTTGATATATTCATGCAGTATTTAACAAAAAATCATTAAAATATACCTCACCGTGATGTCGCTTTAAGATAAAGCATATTACTTCTTTCAGATTGTGTATTTTATCATATATATATATATAAATTTTGATAACAATATATTTGACAACGGTTTGTGATAGAATAATTAACATAAATTGAAAATAACTATTGCTGTGAAACACATATTTAGGTTAAAATGCTACCGAAATTCAATACAAATATGGCTGTATATTTGAACACTAAATGGAGTAAATGGTATGGAGATCACAAAAATGGGTTAAAATCTAAATGAGGTACAAAAAAAATATTGAAAACTTAAACAATGCATAATTTATGACAGTGTTTTCTTGATATTTTATGTCATCGCCATAGTCTAACATACTATAGGGGTAGCTGCTCGGTCCCTCACATGCCATTTTGTGGTGCTTACAGTGGATATATAATACCCACACTCTGTAGCTTCACAAAGTGTCTACGCGATTGCCGGCAACTTTCGTCCGTCTGAGGTCAACTGTTAATAATTAAAATCACCAACGAAGTTCTTCTGGATAATCAGAAGTCTTAGATTCATCATATCTTTTTTTCAACGACACTTATTTGGAGGTTAATCCTGTAGGGACCACTTACACTAAAGAAATGTAAGAAGACAGAAATTATTTACAATTTCCCCTGAAGAAAATGTAGGCGACTTATTTTCGACTGTTGTCTTTGCATTTAACATAATTATTCAAAGATAACTCGTCAATTTTAAAATGCAATAACATTGGAAGACAAACACTGTACCTACTTTCACAAGAACGCATTGATGTCCAATTACGTGATGCTTGGCATGTCGTCTGGAACGATGCCCTATTTCCGCTATGGTAACCTTCGACACAGGTATATGTTGCGTTTGATTCATATTCCGTGCCATTGTATGACAGTGTACTGTTTGTACCGGTCGGATCTTGTGGCGCTCCACAACTTATTCCTGTAGAAAACAAGGTTATTATATTACGTCTATATCATCTTGGTTATAAAAAGCAGGCATTCCCAAATAATGTCTATACACTCATCAACGTATATAGTTGAAATCTGGAGACTTTGTAATTGCTTCAGTATCGTGACGATTTTTTTTACAATTAGGTTACGACTGTGCCATATACCTGGTATATATGGTGACATTTTGGACGAGATATTGCCTTTTATAAAGTTAAGATTGAGGTAAAAATGTCAGTCATTACGGTACATTCTTTTCGATGTGTCCCCCATGGCGGAGTTAAGTTTGCATTCACACCTGGATTAACAGTATACCCGACATACCTCTAAAGCAGTGGATGTCAGTTTCATGACATGTTGAACGAGGTAATCACATATTGAGGTAAACATGTGAGACACAGCGGTACTTGCTTTGACACCGCTACCCAATCATTGATGCACATTTAGGCATAATGTGTCATGATACGCGAAACGAAATCAGATACAGAGAGGTAAAAACTACTTAAGTAGAAAACGAAAACAACACACATTATTGTACACCGTGGGGTAATATGAATACCGCAAAAACCTTTCGTTAGATATAACATGTAGTATAGAATATTATTTATAAACATACATGTACCTCAAACTTTATAGGTTAATGTAGAACTAAAAGTGCCCAAACTTTAAGAATATGCACTGTATCTACACTTGTAATACTTAACTATCTGATTTCCCCGAGGACCTAAATGTCACAATGGCACATATTGTACACATCCATTATATATAATAATGCATTATTTAGTTTATTTTCTAAAGCTAATTAACCTTGTAATTTCTATCGACTTTTCATTAAGAAAACCAAAAATATCCCGACTTTTGTATAATGTGTTAATTTCCATCACAATGTCACGTTACTAATGCATTTTAAGCTCACCATGACTGCCCAGAAACCCAAAGCCTTCGAAAAGAACGCTTACATATGATTTAGAGATCCCCGTTGAAACATAAATTTGAATTTTCTACTATCTTGTCATTGACGATCGGTATTCTTGCTAACAATGGCATACTGCTGTATATCACTTCAGTAGCCATCGCGTTTGTTAACAGAACATAATATAACAGTTTGAACTGAATCTTACCTAGATTCCATATTTACTATTTCAACTTTACATTTGTTTTCTTCAAATAGACTTTCTGGTCAAGTCTATTATTCTACAAATAGGCGATATACCGACTAAACTAACCGTTTTCATCACCATATCCGCAATGACGCTAAGAATTTGTTTGTATATTGTTAAAGCTACTGTCCTTAATAATTCCATTATACACTTTATAAGTTTTTTACTTACTTTTACAAACTGGAGCTACACCACTCCAGGTTCCGTCTACCAAACATTTCCTGCTGAAGTTACCACTGTCAGGTTCGTATGCGGTGATACACTCGAATGTAGCGATCACTCCAATGGTCAAACCCTCGTTTGTCCGCACAACTGTTGTGGCGTTTTCATTTGGTTCACCGCAACTACCTGAAATAGTCGTTAACTCCACTCTTTATCAACATCACTTCTACCTAGATTAATTGTCAATTAACTAACAGCTGAATGTTCTCACCGGTAGTCGCGACGGTTACCTATAAACTTAGTATTGAATTATTTTGCCAGTAAAAGAAGATATAAGCTATTAATTAGTGAACTATTTGAATGTCTCATCAGTAGTGGCGGTTGTTTTTACATTTACTTAATCAATTACATTTTAACAGTTACTGTTATAATTCTTTTGCCAAATATCAAACTGCAATTGTATGTCATAGGCTAACTTATACTCTTGTTCACCCATTCCAAAACACTAGGTGCGTACTACCAATATTGGAATATAATAAATGAAAAAACATCTATCGCAAACCATGAAATACCTGAAATACTAATCACGTTTCATATATTGGTCAAGAGGTCTAGTAGGTATACTCGAAATAAATTTATACACGAATATTTAAAAAGAGGCATAGCTCTCAAAAATATTTCCCTTTCAAAAACTATCATATACTCCTGTTTTCACACCTAGCGAGGGGGTGAAGGTGGGTGATCTTTGACAATTTCATTGTTCTCAATGTATCTATAACGTTTTTTCTTTTATGAATAATTGTGTGGAATTCGAATGTTTTTATGTGATATTAGTGGGCCTTACAAGTGGATCGAGTGGCTCTGAAACGTTGACAAGTTTGTCTGCACTGCACGATATTTTTGAAGTGCATTATGGACATTGTCCTGCAGATGTTAGTATTGGGTTAACATGTAAACTACTTGTCGTAACTGTATTCTGATGGATTTATTTATGCAAACAGAATCATATTCCAGAAATAATTACAAATATATTCATTTTTTTTACCTTTAGGTGGACATTGCACATGCGTCATGTGACAACTGAAAAGAGGTAGGGGGAAATTAATACTCAAAATAATGTTTTATTAAAAAAGTAGTAAAAAACTTATTATGCATAGGCATTAGTTTACCACTCTATTCTCCTATTTTTCTTTAGTTTATTTCAATCATTCCATGTAAAAAGAATCAATACTGTATTTTTAAACATTTCAAGGCAACTTACGTGCGCATACAGGCGGATGACCGCTCCATTGCTGATTCGCCTGGCACGTCCTTTCCTTATCGCCACTTTCGATCTCATAGCCATCGGTGCAGACGTAAGTGACATGATCACTGAAGTAAACTCCTTCCACTTCCATAGTACTATTGACCCCTTCTTCTGGACTCCCACATGACTTGGCTATTGTTCAAATGAGAAACTACGAATCATCTAGATAAATCAATTCAAATAATTTAGATAGAAAAATCCAATAGCGTCAATACAAATTTAGACTAAATTTTATCAGGAAAAACATTGAAAACTGAACAATTGAACACTATAAACATAGTATAATCACAATAAAAAGTTCACGAGATCAGATTAAATGGTGAAACATTCAACTGCATTCATATTAAAACAACCCTTCCAGAACCAAACAAGGTAACTAAAGGTTGATTCCTATAAAAGCTAGTAGAGAAGACCAAAATAAGTTAAGTACCAAACAACTAGACCAGATACAGCGGATATAATACATAATATATAAAGTACCAAACAACAAGACCAGGTCCAGTGAATATAATACATAATATATTAAGTAACAAACAGCTAGACCAGGTCCAGAGGATATAATACATAATATATAAAGTACCAAACAACATGATCAGGTCCAGTGTATATTATATATAAAGTACCAAATAACATGTTCAGGTCCAGTGAATATAATACATAATATGTTAAGTAA